CCTCCCAAGTAGCTGGGACCACAGGCGCCCGCCACAACGCCCGGCTATTTTTTGGTTGCAGCCGTCATTGTTGTTTGGCAGGTCCGGGCTGGGGATTTGAACCTGCCACCTTAGGTGTATGTGGCTGGCGCCTTAGCCAGTTGAGCTATAGGCACTGAGCCAATGTCCTTAGATCTTTATCTCCCTGCCAAATATATGAAATATCAGACTTAACGAGAACTCAAATTTCTGTGACATAGGGTCTGTGAAACAATCCCTAACCAGAGAAGAAGTAGAGGACAAAAATATTAACAGTGACATTAAATATTATTTATAATTATATCATTTCTATTTACAGAATGCTATGTCAGTCATGCTTACAATCACTGAGCATGGACTTAAGCTTTTAAACTATAATCACACCTTCATTTTGCATATGAAGGAACTAAGGCCGAAGAGGTTAAATAACCTCAGCAGTATGGCCTAACACCAGGTTTCTGAAACAGGTAGTATGTCTCCAGAGCCTGTTCTGTAAATCCCAAACACCACTCCAAGCCCTGTGATTGGAGGGATTTTTTTCCCTCTTTTTTATACTAGCTTTATAGAAGCATAATTTACAAACAATAAACCGTACCTATTTTAAATGTACCATTTGATGAATTCCAACAAATTGTAGAAATCAGTTTAGCTACCATCGGAATCGAGATATAGTATGTTTCTATCTATCACCCAAAAAGGTTCATGGGACTCCTTAGGAATAAATATCCTTATCACGTAGATTACTTCTGACCTTCCCAAGTTTCACACACGTGGAATTATAAGTACTCTTTGTATCTGAGTTCCTTCACATGGAAACCTGATGTCAGATTCATCCATGCAGTGGCATCCATTAAAAATTCTTACAGGCCTTTTATTATCATGACAAAAGGGTCCTGTTTGTTGTCATGGTGAAAGTATCTTGTGTAAATCTATTCTTTCTCTACCACAATAAACTTTATCTCACACTCTAAAAAGAAATTCTGTGTGTGGGTGTTCCATATTGTTTATCCACTTGACTCTTTATGGGTATTTGAATAATTTAAAGTTCTGAACTCATCAATAGGTTGATAAGAACATTTGAGTTCAGATCTTTACATGACTATCTCTTTGTTCCTACTGGGGTGTTCTGTCTAGGATTTGATTGCTAGATCATATGGTAAGTAGATATTAAATTTTATAAGAAAAGACCAAACAGTGTATCAAAGTGGCTATACTATTTTTTATTCTCATCAGCAATACGGAGAGTTAGTTGTTCCATATCATCACTAACACGTGAAATTGTCAGTTATTTTAGTAATTTAGCAATTTTGCTGGGTACATAGTGGTGTCTCATTGTGGTTCAAATTTGTGCTTCCCTGTTCCAAGCTCATAAAGATTTTCTTCTATATTTTCTTACACCAGTTTTATAGTTTCAGCTTTTATATTTAGGTCTATGCTCTGTTTTGATTAACTTTTGCATAGAGTTATGAAGCGAGGTTAGACGTTAATGGACACATCCCACCACAGAGATATCCACTTGCTCTAAGGCCACCTTACTGAGAATACAAAGCTTTCCCCCATCACTTTGGGATCTTTGTTGAAAATCAAATTACTGCTTATTTACACTATTCTTTTGGTTACTTTGTTATGATTATCCTTACACCTATTTTGCACTGTTTTAATTTCTATAGCTTTAGAGTAATTATTTTTTACTATAATAAAGATGCATAAGACTTATCATTTTAATCATTTGTAAGTTTATAATTCAAGGCTTTAAGCGTAATCATAATGGTATTATGTATTATGTATTATACTCTCATCACTGTCTGTGCCCAAAACTTTTTCTTCATCCCAACAGAAACTCTATATCATGAAACAATAACTCCCCTTTATCCCCTCTCCCTCCAGCTTCTGAAGACCTCTATTCTATTTTGTATGTTGTAAATTTGCCTTTCCTATATATCTTATATAAGTGGAATTATACAATATCTGTCCTTTTGTAATTAGCTAATTTACCTAAGCATGTTTTCAAGGTCTATCCATGAGTAGCATATATCAAAATTATATTCCTTTTATGGCTAAATAAAATTCCATTATGTATACACACCACATTTTGTTGAACCATTCTTCTGTTAATGAACACAGATTGTTTCTCTGTTTAGCCTGTCATGAATAATGCTGCTATGAACATTGGTACCCAAATATCTGATCCAGTTGCTGTGGTCAATTCTTTTGGATATATACCTGAGAGAGAAATTGCAGGGTTATATGGTAGTTTATGTTTAGCCTTTGGGGAAACTGCCAATCTGTTTTCCACATTGGTTGCATGATTTTACATTCCCACCAGGAGTGCACAAGAGTCCAACTTCTCCACATCCTCACCAACACTTGTCGTTTTATTTTTTTCAATTAATTTTTAAATTTATAATTGACACATAATAATTATACATGTTTATGGGGTACAGTGTGATGTCTTAAAGCATGTCTACAATGGCTAATGATTAATTGTGACAGTTACCACATTTATCACTTTAAACATTTGTCATTTCTTCATGGTGACAACATCCAAAGTCTTCTAGGAATCTTGATATGTACACTGCATTGCTATTTGCTATAGTCACACTGCCATGAAATCGAACACTAGGACTTATTCTCTCTAACTGTAACTTCATATCTATTGACCAACCTCTCCTAGACGCCTCTCTTCCCTCCCCTCCCCAAACTCTAGTAACCACTTTCTTACTCTTTACTTCTATGAAATCAACTTTTTTAGAATGGGTGAGATCACATGGTGTTTGTCTGTGTGATTGTTTCTCCATTCTCACAATGTTTCACTTAGAAGAATGGTTTCCTTGGCTTAGTGCTTGTGGCTCAAGTGGCGAAGGCACTGGCCATATACACCTGAGCTGGCAGGTCCTGATCCAGCCCGGGCCCACCAAACAACAATGATGGCTTGAAACCAAAAAATAGCCGGGTGTTGTGGTGGGCACCTATAGTCCCAGCTACTTGGGAGGCAGAGGCAGAAGAATCTCTTGAGCCCAGGAGTTGGAGGTTGCTGTGAGCTGTGATGCCACAGCACTCTACCTGTGAATTAAAATTGTGAATAGGTATTGGTTGCCCTTTGCAATTTTTCATCTCATGCTTACATCTTTATTGTATTATCTGTGTATTATATCACACAACTACAGAAAAGTACAAAACTCTTTGAAGCCCTTTAGGAGCAACATTAAAACAAATTGCTCACACTAAATAACTAGTCAGTTGAATCTAGTGAGTTGAGCAGCTTTTCAAGGTAGTATGGAACAGAAATATGCAAAGTACAACAGGGGTTCAAAAATAATGTGCATCCTGATCTCAAGGAAAGGAAAGAGAAAGTGAACTCTTTATATTTAGTAAGAAACTTCTGTGTGTCAATTATTCTGCTTAAAAGCATTATTTTATATCCTTGATTGTCAGTCATACCCTGAAGTGAAAAGTAACTTAAATAATTATTACACAGAAGCAGAGATTAGAGAGACAAGCACAGAACCTAGGATTTAATTGCAATGTATAAATCCTAGCTTCACAGGTAAATAGCTCTATGACATTTGTCTGGTTACTTAACATCTGTGAACCTCAGTTCCCTCCGTTGTAAAATAAGGATCATAACCTCACAAGGATATTATATCAAGTACATGAGATGACTCTGAAACCTTGTCTAGCATCTGGCCTCACCTAGTTATAATTAAGGATGAGAAAATTTAAAACTATAGTCCTTAAGAGCTTAAATAAACTGTAATCCATTCTCCCAAACTTCTATTTTAATAAATGAATAAATTCAAATTCAAATGAAACATTTGTGGTGAGTGAAAATACAGAAGGCTCCCCCAAAGTACCATTTATTCTTCCATAGATAGTCATCCACTAGGGAGAAAATATAGACATGGAAACCAATTAGTAGAGTGGGGAATACAATGTACAAGGTAAGAGAGTATGTATATTCTAAATCTAGGCCTGCCATTGACCAACTAGATAAGCATAATTAATTTAATCACTGAGTTCTTATCACTTCATCAATAGAACAAGTAGTCCATATTCTGAATCAAAGCTAGGTGTGGTGTCTCATGCCTATAGCACTTCAGGAGGCTGAAGCAGGTAGATTGAGCTCAGGAGCTCAGGAGTTCGCTAACAGTCTCAGCAAGAGTGAGACCCCCATCTCTCCTAAAAACAGAAAAACTAGCTGAGGTGCTGTGGTGGGTGCCTATAGACCTAAGTAATTGAGGGAGGCTGAGCCAAGAAGATTACTTGAGCCCAAGAGTTTGAGGTTGCTGTGAGCTATGACATCACAGCACTCTACCCAGAGCAACAGAGTGAGAGTCTGTCTCAAAACAACAACAAAAAACTATTCTGACTCTGTGTATGACTTAAGAAAGGGAATAGGCTGTTAAGAATCAGAAGGTTGGAAATGCAATAACAATTTCCTTAAAAAATTATAATAACATGAGAAAGAATTAGAAGCATTGACTAAAGCTTGTAATAGATGCCGCCACTTAGCTATTAAAAATAAATAAATAAAACTTCAATAGCCTCTCTTATTTGTAAAGGAAAGTCCAAATTTTCTAACCTAGCATACCATCCACCATTCTAGCTGCTTACCATCCGCCATGGCATCATGTGTGTCACATCCTTGTGTTTTTGTACCCACTGTTTCTTCTACCTGGACTATGATTCCTATCTTACTTCATCTTGCCCTCTACATGTGAGGAATTCCCACTCTCAGGCAAGATATATATGAAATATCGCCTTTTCTGTGAAGCATTTTTTTCAGAATTAAGTCATCTTCTATGTTCCCATAAACCTATTTCTATAATAGAATTTACTGAATTATATTGCTGCTACCTACTTATACTCTGATCTACTTATAATTGTGAGCATCTTAAGGGTAAAACCCACATCTAATTATCATTTATCTCCAGAATTTGGTTTACTTAAGTGATCAATAAATCAATATAGATTAAACATGATCATATGGTATTGACTGGATGGTTTAAGATGTCTTGGAAGCTTTATAATATTAAGTATGGCAATAATGCTTAGCAGTATTAATAAAATTCCTCTGTTCAATATTTGAGAAAATGAGAGGTGATGGCTTGCCCAAAATAATACCAATGAGTTGATGATGAAGGCAGAAATGGTATTTATTTTCTGATTTCTCATCTTGATGTTATTTCCTATATACTACTATTTTAAGTCAGGGATGAAAAATAATTTGAAAATACAAAACAAAATAAAATCAAAGGTGGATTCATCATACTAATTTCCACCCTTCTTCATTTTATAGGTTGTGTTTTTCTTGCCTACGGATATTGTTCCAGGTGATGAACAACGTGGCCTAGGAGAAGATGCTCAATTACAATTTGAGCTGCAAGAAGAATCCTATAGTGATGACACAACAGCAACGCGCATACAAACCGTCTTCTTTGGAGGCTATGCTTTCTTCAAGTTAAGAGTTGCAAAAAGTCCTTTAGCCTCCCAGTTCAGGTTACAAACTGGCAGGCCTAGTTCCCTGCCACCTTCTGCACCTGTGCCAAAAGAACAACAGCAAAATATCCCTTCACGTTTACAGTCTACAGAGGGAGATCATTTGTCTCCACTAACATCACAAAAACAGCACTCAAAAAATACAACGCACACTCAGAAACCCTCTGTATTTGAACCGAAAGAGAAAGACCAGGAATCTGCTACCGCTCAACACCCCAAGATCCAGACCCAATTGCTGAAAAAGAAATCCTTACCATTCCAATTTTTTCCATCCTATTCTGTATTAAAAGTCCAAAAATTATCACCTAAAGACTTGCCACCTCAAGGTCTGCCAGGACAAGCCCAGTCAAGTCAAAACATTATAGTAAAAGCCATGATATCTACAACCCCAGCATCCCATGTTATGCAGTCTTACGATCTAACCAGGAAAGATCTGCCCTTTCAAGACATATCATCCCAAGACTTGCCTTCAGGATCCCAAAACATACCGTCTCAAGACTTTTCTTCTCCAGATACGCTATCCAGCGCTCTCTCAAAAGCTATGCTATCTGAAGCTTCAAAACCCCATATTGTGCAGCCCTCTAATACAAAACACCTGCTTCAGAAAACTCCAGATATTCAACCTGAAAACCAGCAACTTTTACACAAATCACATAAAGACATTCAATCAGAAGTCAAGGAAGAGACCAAAAAATGGAACTCTGAAGAGGAACTCCCCAGAAAGAAATTCTCAAAAGGACATTCCTTAGACTACCTTGTCAAAGTCTGGAAATTCTCAAGGAAGAATTCTTTAGACAAGTCAAACAAAAGCTTGCAGTCCTCAAAGAGGAATTTTTTATACAAGCCGAACAAAAGCTGGCATTCCTCAAAGAAGGATTTCTTAGACAAGCGGAACAAAAGCTGGCGATCCCCAAAGAAGAAGTCCGTAGACAAGCGGAGCAAAAGCTGGCAATCCTCAAAGCGGAATTTCTTAGACAAGCAAAACAAAGGCTGGCAATCTCCAACACGGATGATCCTAGACAAGAAAATCAAAGCCCTGCTAGTCGTGAAGAAGCAAACCTTGGAGAAAGCTCAGCATCATCACACTCCACAGCAACTCCCAGATCAGCCGGCTGAAATCCAGCGAGGCCCAAAGGGCAAAGATGGGCAAGATATAGACCAGCGGGCTGAAAAGGAGCAAGGCCCAGAGAAACAAACCCAAGATCAACAAGCTGATGACCAGCAGTCCCCAAAAGGACAGCAAAGTCAAGTAGAGAAAGCTCCAAATCAGCTATGCCAGGATTGGGATTCTCAAACCCAGAAATACCAAGGCTGGCAATCCGCAAAGAAGCAATTGTCAGAACATTCAATTCGAGACTTTAAATTTTTCAGCTCAACACAGTCTGAAGAATCAGGAACTCAAAGTTGGAGAAGCAGAGATCAGATAGGACAAAGATGGCAATGTGAAATGCAGCATTCTCTATACTGGGGATCTCAAGCCTGCCAAGCCCAAAGTCAATCAGAGAGAAAAGCCCTAAGGCAGAAAGCTGCAGACCAAGAAATGCAAACCCAGCAAACCACAGCCCAATATAACCTAGGTTGGCACTTACAAAACACAGAAAGCAAAGGCCAAATTTCAAAGGAGCTGCAATCAGAAGACACAAAACCAGATATTCTGTCTTCTTCTGGCCAGAGTTCAATGCAAGACACATCTTTAGGCTATTTCTCCAATATTGAATCAGAACAAGATGTGCAACAAATCACTTCAGCTTGCTCAAATTCATACAGAGAAGATCCGAATTTAACTTCTGATTCTTCTTTTGCAAAATATCAACAATCTGAGGACTCAGACTAACATGTGGAATCTGCTCCCCTAAAATGTGGTTGTTACCTAATCTCTCACCAAAATATGAAGGGAATCCAGAACACTCAATGAATCTGTCCCTGATTAAAATAAAGTGACAACGAACCAAATGTTAACACTGTAGCTCTGTCTGGTGGTGAAGGCACAATTCACATATAAACACCATCAAAGTTAGCGTTTCAATTATAATCACCAACTTGTTTTACAACTTAATATTTGATGGAGCTACTTTTCTATGGTGCTAATTGTTTTGCTTCATCTTTTATGCATAATAGTTCAGAAAGTCACTTGGGGGAAAGCCTATACAGGTTCCCTAAGGGGTCATGACCCAAAAGAGTCAGCAAGGAACAAAAATTGCACCACTCTCCTATTTTGCTGTTTCCAGTCCTCTCCTTTACTCTCCCTCCCCAAATCTATATGGAAGATATATACACCAAGTTTGTTCAATTATTAATGAGATAGAATGTGGCAATGAGTACAGAATGTAATGGGGTGGTGCGGGGGGCTGGCGAGGTTAAATCATATTTATAGACAGCAAAGTAGGAGTTCAGGAAAGGCAGAGATGCTGTCATATGGAAAATGCGACAAACTGTAACCTATTTAGGGAAGCTTCGGTTCCCTCACTTCTAATTTCCCAACCCTTATCACATATAATTTCATCCTCTGTGATCAAGGAAAATTGTGTCATCTAAAACCATCAGTTATCCTCCATCCTCCAAGCTAATCACATTTTTTCCATCCTTTCTCTTTAATCTCTTTAATACATTTGGAGTTTTTAGCCATCTCATCTTTCCGTGATTTTTATCCTGCCCGTTGGCTTCTGAGTTTGACTCCTCCTGTTTCAAAAATTCCATAACAGGTATTTCTAGGGATCTCTCCCCAATGTCCTTCATTTTCTGAAATCACAACGCACAATAGCAGTTCTCTCATCTCCTTGTGAATAATCCAGACTATGTCATATTCACATCTTTTACAGAATTCAGCACTAAAGCTTGCTTCTAGTAGACATTCAATGAATTATTTTTAAAAGCACAAATGGGAGCCTGGACTCTCCACCTACAGGTGAGTGGAGAAGGAATATGTAGGAGACTAATCACGTATACGAGCCCTTGCAGCCACTGCCTTTGTAGTGAGGATGAGCTTTGGGACCAAGGTAGGGCCCCTGCCTGAGTTGGCCTCCAGATCCTGAATGGCCATCGTTCATCTTACTCTGAAGGATCCTAATAACATGTTTGGGAATTATTTGTATCCCATCCAGATTCAGCTGGATCAGAATATGTTTCTAAGGTGCTTGTGTAATGGGTTTAACTTTCAGTCCACAAACTCAGGTGTTCAGGAAAGGCATGTTTATAATTTTTAATAAAATTCTGTCTTTGAGAACCTAACCCCTGCAGTCATCCTTGCCCATTCAGCCCCATACCTAACCAACACACACACACATACAAGTTTATGCACACGTGCACAAGGATCTCAAGACTGTCAAGTCACTGGAGAGGCAATTCTGTCATCAGTGACTAGCCCACACTGATCACTGCTGTGAAACTCATCGTTCTAATAGAACCTGTGTCCTCACTGTGTCCATACTATGCAGCTATGTGAACTCATTGCTTCCATGCTACACTTAGAACGCAGGGATTTTTCTAGAATTGCAAGAATATAATGACTATGGGCTAAACTTACAATGTAAGAATATAAAAATGTAAAAGACCCTTCCCTCCGAGGTCTGTCTGTCCTATTAGGGGGTCATGCTAGGGAGCAAGGCAGAAACACTCAATCCCCCCAAACTTACAGTCAACCTTTCCAAGCAGCAGGAATCCCTCTTTCCTCTCATTTTCCAAAGACATTCTCTCCTTATCTGCCCTTTCTGAGATTCCTAATAAGATCCCATCAATGAGTTTGGGTCTAGAGTTGGCAAAATCAAATGTGTTCAGGAGCCAATGAATAAAGATAAATGTATGAAGTACCTGTCTATAAAACAGGATGCAGAAGACTGGAGGAAACAATGATTTACTTGAAAAGCAATATAATTCTTTTAAATTATGATTTACTTGAAAAGCAATATAATTTACTTGAAAAGCAATATAATTCTTTTAAACGCCGTCTTATTCCAAATATAATGTCTTTCTAGAAGTCATGAAGCTTGTTTTTTGGCATAATTTTGATCTTATGCCTTAGGCTATGATCTTATGCCCTCAGTTCTCAAGACACTTTTAGAAAAAAAGTAAGCTCACTGCTTACAAGTATTCTTTCATTTGTTGGACTAAATATCTTTCAGATGGATTATATATACTTCCCAGTGCCTTTGTGCCTAAGTGAATGTAAAGGCGACTGTCACTAGTAGAATGCTCACACTTCCAGGCTCAACCCCTAAAACCACCTGCATTATTCCCATGATATCTTTTTCCTTTATGCACTGGCCAGATACAGCAAATCCAGGATTTGGGAAATGCTGAGTCCCTAAATCACATTGTAGATTAAATCTGCTGCTGAGTTCCAAATGGACTGTGATCTAAGAGGGAAATAAACCTTTTATGGTGTTAAGGCAAAGAGAGCATGGTTTTCCTTTGTCATTGAAGTCAGCCTAAACAGAGTAACAGAGTCATTAAGATAAAAACGTCAAATCTTACTCAAAATGACAAGCATCTTACTCTTATCCCCTTTGTGTTAGTCACCTATTGCTGTGTAACAAACTCCCGCAAATGTAGCTGTTTACAAGGGCACATTTATTCTAAGTTTCTGCAGGTCAAAAGTCCAGGAGACCATGGTTATCTTGTTCAAAATATGTGGCTAAAAGTTTTTGATTTTGAGATGCTACGATTTTTTACCCTCAGTTCCCAAGACACTTTCAGAAAAAAGTGAGCTCACTGCTGGCCAGTGCTGCAGTTTTGGGCTTGGGTTTCTCTTTAAAGCCTATCTGTTGTTGGACGAATCTACTTCTTGCAGCTATTAGGACTGAGGTCCCTGTTTCCTTGCTTCCAGCTGGGAGCTGTTACATTCTCCTAGAAGACACCTGAGTTCCTTCTCAGGCAATCCTTTCCATCTTCAATCCAGCAACCATGTGTCAAGTTCTGCTCAGACTCCAACTCTACTCCTTCTCCTGTCTCACTCACTCAATCTAAGACAATATCCTCATTTTTAGATAAGTTTATTAAATGCAAAGTCCTTTTGCCATTGAAGAATACATAATCATGGGTATAATACCTCATCATATTCGTAGTCCTGGGGATTAGGGCATGGAATTTTTGTGGGTACAATAATTCTTATCACACCTTCCATGGGTGATAAAGAAGGAAAAAAATGAATACTTCAATATTTGCTAATGTATTATTTGTCCTTTTAACATATTAATTTTTTTTGTCACACTCACAGCCAAATAGTCTTTTTAAATATTTCAGTAGTCACAGGTATATATTCAGATAGTTTAAAGAGTCAACTAGTCATACACAACTATCTTGAGTAACAAGTAGCAAGTAGACATTCCTATCTGGAACTCTAAATCCCTCTAGTTCAGAAATGCACAAGACAAATATCATTTGCAATAAATGCTGTATATGAAAAAAAGAAGGTTGAGGAGCAGTGGTCTTCTCACTATGGAAGATCAGGATGTAACTATCCTCTTTCAACTCCCCACTACCACACATATACGTTTCTCATTCCTCATCCTCCCCTACAGTTATAGCACAGTTTGGGGTTGAGAGATATATGCTGTTTATATCTCTAAATATTCAACTGAGGCTGAGCCACATAATAGATTTTTATTTTTCCTCACCTGTGCCATGTTGTCTTTTCCCTTAAATTGTGTCTTTTCTTTCATTTTTCCTTTGTGTTTACTTTTTTTCTCAATGCCAAACTCTCCACCAGTTCTCAAAATTTCTTAACACATTACTTCATATTGCAAACCATATTAATTTCCCTTTCTTAAAGAAGTCTTTACTGGAGGTACAGCCTACATGCCTTCTTCATGACTGGTACCAGCTGAAATCCTGGGATCCCCCTGTCATCATCCTGAGATTTTTTTTTCATTGACCTTTTTTACTTTTTATCTTATTTACTTCTCTTGCTGTCCTCCCTTATTTTTTAAAAATAAATACTCTAGGAGCTTTTCTTTTCCCTTTCCCCATATACAGATATAATACATTTTTGTGTGTGTGTTTAATGTTCCTAAGAGACATTTTCTGGGTTATTCTCTAGAATAGAAATAAAAATAAATACATTTGCTTTATTTTTATTTCATACTTCAATATACAATATGTACATATATATTATTTTTCAAGCTCTATAAAGCTTTTTTATATTTTTGCATTTGGAATTAATGATAGACTCACCCCAAATCCTACCTTTTAAGGTGTTAAGATAGTCAGGTATACTCTTCACCCAACTTTCCCCAGTAGTGACATCTCATATAGCTGCCATACAATATCAAAAGCAGGAAATTGACATTGGTGCATTACTAACTAAACTGCAGACTATCTAGTTTTTGCCATTTTTTAATCCTGCATCCATTTGTTGTGTGTGTGTGTATAGTTCTGTAGCCATCGCCGCAATCAAGGTCCAGAATTGTTCCATCACCACAAAGAAACTTCTGCATGCTATTTCTTTTTAATAACACCTCACCCTCAATGCTACCTTTGCTTCTTGGCGACCACTAATCTGTTCTCTATCTCCCTTGTTTTGCCATTTTAAGAATGCTATATTAGTGTATTCATATTTCTTGAGACTCTTTTCACTGAGCATAATGCTTTTAAAGCCCATCAGTGTTGTGTGTTTCATTGATTCCTTTTCTTTTATTGCTGAGCAAATATTCCATTGTATGGATGATGAATGTACCAGGGTTAAGCATTCATCTATTGAAGGACATTACTGATTTTTCTATTATGAATAAAAGGTATTAGAAATATTCATGTATAGGCTCGTGTATGAACATAAAATTTCATTTCTCTGGGATAAATGCCCAAGAGTACAATTGCTGGGTTGTGCAGTAAGTATAAGTA